ATTAATAAAAGCTAACATGTACCTTTTATTTTCATTTGATATAAGATTCATAGGGCCACAAATATCAGAATGAATCAATTGCAGTAACTTAGAGGCTCACCAATTGCTTTGTTGTGGAAAAGAGTCTCTTTGATGTTTTCCTTTTAGACAACATTCACAAAGTTGAGCTGGTGGCTTGAAGGAGGACATCCCTTTCACCATATCATGCTCTAACAGAGTTCTCAGTCCACTATAGCTTAAGTGGCCATAACGAAAGTGTCAAACTTGAGAGCTGGTGGTACTGAACTGACCTGAAAACATGGCTAAGAAATTCTAGATTTGACATATACAACAAACATACGGTTAGTGATCAAGGAGGTGTAAAAAATAATGTCATTCTCGTGAAATACTATGCATTCATTTTGCTTTATTTCAATAGTCAGACCTTTCTCTTGAAACTATCTCTTACTTAACAAGTTGTTTATTAACTCAGGCATAAAAAATACATCATTGATCATATAAATAACTTCATTAATTAGGAGTTTGATAGGACCTTTTTCAGTCACCTTTAGTGAATGATATTCCCTAATTTCACTTCATCATCAAAGTAAATATCAATGGAAGAAAACCAATCCTTTATACCTATCATGTGGTTGTTGCAACCTGAATCAATAAACCACATGTCTCGTGTGCTTGATTCTTCATTTGAGATCACTTGTGTCATGAGAAGCACTGTCTTCTTACCAAACTCAACATAGTTCGCATTGTTGTCCTGTAGTTTCTTTGGATACTTATATTGAAAATGTCCAAAGTCATGACAATAATAACACTTTATTGTTGCCTTGTCTAGTCTTCCTCCTTTGTCTCTCCCTCTTCCACATGTAGATCCACCTCGGGATCCACTTTTTCCGTGACCATGCTCACCAATAATCTCATAGTGTGTAACTTTCAGCATACTCATCTATAGTCATAAATTGTGACCATTCATTCGTTATTCGTGTACTAACATACTACTTTGCAACTCATTTATAGTCATAGAATCCAGGTCATGAGATTCTTTAATAGAACACACTACATAATCATACTTGGAGGTCATCGAACTAAAAATCTTTTCAATGATGACAAGATTCGACATCTGTTCTCCATACATTCTCATCCTATTTGTGATAGTGAGAGTTTGAGAAAAATACTCGTTTATGGATTCGTCATTCTTCATTTGCAAGATTTTTCAATCACGATATGGCCTGAAGTTGTACTCGCTTCACTCTAGTGCCCTGATATTTTTGTTTCAAGGAGTCTCATATCTCCTTCAAAGTCTCCTTCTTCAAAATCGTCTCAACCACCACTTTGATCTTGCTTGAAATAAATAATTTTTGACCTTTAAATCCTTCAACTTGAAGTCTTCCAAAGTTTTCTTCTCATTCTCTGTCAATATAGTCCCAAATGTTTGTGAGGGGACTCATGGATCTATGAGATTCTAGTACTCCTTTGACATGAGGAAGTTTTGCACGAGTAATGTCCAATATTCATAATAATGCTTGTTCAGTTTAGGAATCACAAGTTACATGAAGTTGTTATCAGTGGTCATGGATGAATATGCTACTTCTTGTAACTCACCTGACTCTTGATACCAAATGTTAATTAGCAAGTAAGATGTAAAAAAATTGTTTTATAATTAAAGGTAATCGTACAATATTGTTCATTCAGAAAAAAAGAAGAAGAAATGATATAAACTTAGTTTTACAACTATTTTATTAAAAAATAATAATACATATATGCATTACTTCCTAAAATATAGGTAATAAGATACATAAAATCTAAAAAAGAAACAAATTAACTATAACAATATTTTAAGTCTTTCAATAAAATATAGTGTTAATTACGTCTCATGATTCAAGTGCTTCACGCACCCAAAAACGCTTATTTGTTCAATTGCTTGAAAAAATTTCTTCCACGGACTAAGATGATAGTGAATGAACAATTCACTTCCGTTTTCAATCACGCTTTTACTTGCGCTTGTAAGTTTTCAATCTTGATTCAGTTGCAATTTCTTGAATTTAAACTCAGCTCACGGAATGACCTTCAATTGCATCAAATTTTTGAATGATGATTCAACCAAATCACATGCTAGCTTCACATGAATTTAACAAATCGCACAAGATATTAACATCAAACACTTTCAAAATGCACGTGAATTTATCATTCCAAAAGCATCAGAGACTTTCGAAACCGTGAAATCGCCAGCTAATACCAAAGCAAAACTGGAATTGACAATTGCTAATTGCACCAACAAGCGTGCTTGGCAAAAAATAATTCAGCCAAATATTAACAAAATGTGGAAATCAAACTTTGATAATCATTAATTATTACGAATTAGAGAGATTTTTGTGACAAAATTCAAGTAAACAAAAACTCCATTCGTTTGCAAAGAAAACATAAAATAGAAAATAAGTAGTGCAGATAAATTAATGAAAAAATATTTTTTTTCTTTATTAGCTAAAAGAGTAGAAAGTGCAAAAAAATATATTTGATAAAATAATTCTCACTTAAATAAATTATGTTTATAATTTTAATATATATATATATATATATATATATGCTCTAAAATACTATTTAAATAAAATATCATAAATATGAAAATAATTAAATGAATGATTTAATATATATGTTATTTATTATTTATTTATAATATGATATTATCTTATTAATTTAATTTTAAAAAATTTTAAAAATATTATAATAAAAAATATTTTATAATGATATATTAAAGTATATATTATTAATAAAAATATTAATTTAAAAGTATTATTTTAAAAATTTATCTTACTAATAAAAAATAATTAATAATTATATGAATCACTTTGTAATTGAATAAACCTTTAATTTGAATTTAATTATTTATTATTTTTTAAATGATTTTTTTTCATGTTACTTTCTTCTCAAACTAACAAAAGTATTTTCTACTTTATTCTATCTATCTTTCTTTTACTTTATTTTATTTTTCTTTCTTCACACTTTCTTTTCTTATTAAGAAAAAAAGATAAATAAAAAATGTTACAATTAATTTTGATTAATAAAAAAATATTACAATCAAGATTAACTAATAAAAAATATTGACAAACATAAATAATTTCTCTTACAAAACATAAACTTTAACTTAAATCAATTTAAATTATTTACAATAGTGAAGAAATTTTTTACTTATATACATTCATTTAATTAATTAGACTCATCTAATAATAATAATAATAATAATAATAATTATTATTATTATTATTATTATTATTATGATGATAATTAATGTACGAAATGAGTTTTTAATTATAAAAACAAGTACATGTTTTCCGATTTTTAGTTTCATTTGTTTCCTTTATAAAACCAAAACATTGTCCATTTCTTTCGTCAAATTCACGTATACAATGATGCTTTTATACACCTTTTTATTAAGAAAATTTATATATTAATAATATTGTTATTTTATTCTTTTATTATATTTTTAAAAACTTAACTTAATTTATTAGTAAAGTTGTACTGTGTTGAACAACTATATAGAATGTGGTGAATTTTTGTGCTTCAAAACATTAATGTTAGATTTTTCGTTACTTATATAGTCTTCATTGTATTCAGTATTCCTTTATGTTTTGAAAGAAATTAGTTTTTCGTAGTTGAGAAGCTGCTTTTGGTTGATCACAATTTGTACCGTTGCACTATCGCGATTAGACGATAATTAGGTTTCTAAATGAAAGAAAATAATGGAGTCACCACCAATATTTATTTTAAGAAAAAATATCGAAAAAATCCTTCAAAAAGAAAAGAAAGTGATATACGAAATAAGGATTGAGTTCAAGAACCAATTATGTATAAGGAAGATATTAACACCTTACAACATTCGTTCTAAAAAAACGATTACCTTTAATTAGACATAAAAAATTTAAATATCTTAAAATTATCTATTTTATCTCTCAAACTTATATTGATTAAATGTTACTACTAAAAATAAAAGATTATATATTTTTATATTTTTAGCTCGACAGAGATAATCTCCCTACTTTCATGTATCCCAGGTACAATGGAGAATCAGAATAATGTAGTTCTTTCTTACAAATATTTATGAATAATTTATTTTTGTTTATCTATTTATGTTGTTAAGTTAAATGTGGGCCAAAAATTATGTAATGATCAAATTAGAAATACATCTAAAGTGATTATCATTTTTATAATTTAAATAACAATTAAATCGGAAGTACATGCAAAGTAATTTAAATGTTTAAATTATCGTACATGTAATTTCTATGTAGATTTAAAAATGTATATATTTTTTTAAATATTTTATTATAATTAAGTCAAAAGTACATTTGAAGTAATTATTATTATTTTATATCAACCAAATTAGATGTGCTTCCAAAGTGGTTAAATTTTTATGAAATATTTTCTTACTACTCTAATAACAATAATATTGCATGTTTAATAGTACTCGAGAAAAAACAAATGATAATTTAATTGTCATATACTAATAATGATATACTAATTTAAATTATTTAAAAAAATTAAAATTATCTTTATTCCAATAAAATAATAATAATAATAATAAATTTTTTGTATTTATAACTTATTTTGTTATGTTGTTCAGTTTAAAATAGAACAAAAAAAATATTAGGCCCAATAACTCATAAAACATTTTCAGATTACCATTTGAAACCTTTTATGTTATTTTTACCCCTTTTCAATTTGGACCACGCGTTTTTTTTAGCCCACTTTTCTGTTTCTGGTCCCATTTTTTCACTTGAGTCTCTTAACCTAAACCTAATGGGAATCACAGGAGATGGGAGTCGTGGAGGGGCTAGGGATGTCGGGGTGAGGCACGATAGAGAATCACACACGGCTAGGGTGCGCAGTGGCTGGCTATGACAACGTGGTGGCGGCTATGTTCGTGATGATTGATGGATTTGATGGGGGTCGCAGTTGAGGTTCTCGACGGAGACCGCGGTTGTAGTTCGCAAATCACAATGGAAGAGATATAGTCAGAGTTGAGGGTGGAGAAGGGAATCAGAGCTTAGGGATGCGATTGGGGAAGGAGACTGAGAATGCTTCCAAATGGTGAAGGGATTTAAGGGAACTGCAGGGTTGAGGGTGAATGGCTTGTTAGGAACAAAGATGGTGAATGGTTCGGTTGGGCGTGGTGGCCGGTGTTTTTGTCGGGGCTGTGGAAGATGAAGGAGAATAGGGTTGGGTATATGGGTGAAAACGTGGGTAATGTATGGGGTGCGAGTCCTGAGTGTTGGGTTATGGCTGGCTGGTCGAGCTCGCGGTGGTTGGCGACTAGGGTTTGGGGTGAATGGGAGAGAATAAGTGAATAAGATAGAGAAGGGAATCAAAGTGGTGATGGTCATGCGGGCTTAAGGTTGGTGCTCTGTGGTGGTCGTGGTGAGTGGATGGAGGCTGAAGGTGGTGATGCAACGGTGGTAGATTTCTTTTATTTTTATAATTTTTATTAATTGTTATAAAATATGTGCAATATATTTAGGTATACAACAAATACTTCATGCAACAATTGAGAATTGGGAAAAAGATATAAATACTACTACAAATTGGGAACCTGAGAACCTGTTGATGGTTGATTGTTTGTTGGTTGCCTCTATATTGTTGTCTCTGTTGACTCTTTTGAGATTGCCTATTGTTGGTTTTAAGTTGAATCCTTAAACTGTTAAGGGTTCTCTGATGGTGGATGCCATGTTTTTTTATGTTCTTCTTTTCATATCAAAACCAAAAGTTTTTTCAAGCCCCTCCCTCCTCCATTTTTGACATCTCCCTCTCAACTTATACAGGCATGGTAACATGGAGCTAGATCTTAGGGTGACTGCTGGAGCTATAGGGTGGCTGCTATTTTCTTATCTTCTTGGTGTTTACAGTTGCCCCTCTTTAATTAAGTTTTATTGGATAATTTGAATGTGAATTTATATTATCATGATAAAACATAATTAAAGATTTGAACACCAAAATACTGCAAATATACTTGTGATTTGAAAAGTTGAAAAATTGAGAATGGACTCGGAGATCCAATATTGCGATTGAAATATGCAAATTGTGATTTGAAAAGTTGAAAACTTGAGAATGGACTCAAGGATCCAATATTGCGATTGAAATAGACAAATATAAATAAAATTATGATTTGAGTATACTCAGGGATATATGCAAATATTGTGATTGAAAATTTGAAAACTTAGAAGTGGACTCGGGGATCCAATATTGTGATTGAAATATGCAAAAGTAAAATTGTGATTTGAAAAAGTTAAAAACTTAGAAATGGATGCGGGGATCCAATATTGCAATTGAAATATGACGATTGAAAATTTAGAAGTGGGTTCGAAGACCTAGTGCTCGGGGACCAAATACAAAACTATGATTTGAGGTGTTGAAAGCTTGAAAAGTAATTCATATAATTTAAACCTTATAAGAGACATGGGAAACCTTGTAAGGGGCGTGAGAAGCTAACACGAATATTTTCGCACCCTTCAGCTATTGGAACAAGTCTGATTACTTTGGGGCACAGAAACCCGGTATTAAAACTTACTTTGGGCACAAATACCTGGAATTAAAACTCTCTAGATAGATATATATTGGATGGAACAAAGGTTAAATAGTTATTTATTCTTAACTTAAACAAGTAATGCTTGATACTTAATTCACAAATAAAGTATGATATATAATGCATAATGTGTGGTGTATGATATGCTAATTCATGATGGGTGCATGATGCATGTACTTTTGATTAATGATTTTTGTTTTATTATTATTATTATCATTATTATTTTATTTTATTTATATTTATTGTTATTTTTTTATGCACATTTTCCTACGCCTTGATCCCTTAAGATTTCGAGTGTATCAAGATTCATGGAGGGAAGCAGTCTTTGAAATGTATTTTCATTCTAAAGCATGTTAAATTCGTCTCCTTCAATTAGATCATGGTTACACTTTGCTATTTAAGATTCCAAATTGTCAACAATTGGTTATTCTCGCCCACATCATTTCATTTTCATTTTTTATTTTTTTTAAATCATCACATTTTCATTATAATACATTATTAACATTATGACATTTTCCTTTATTGGTATATTCATGATGAAATGACATAAAGAGGTGGTGGTTGAGACAATTTATTTTTATTGCTAGGAATGGAAAGAGTGCATACAAGAACAATTTCGTTTAAGGAATATAAGTGACAATTTGAGCGGTTTTGGGTAGCAATGTTAATCCCCATGTTTACAATTTTGAAAAGCTCATCCGTCAACCTTTGCAAATATATGACAATTTGTGGTTTCATCCTTTGAGTAGCTTTGTGTATATCAATCTTCTAACTTACCCCCTTATTTTTTGAACTTTCGGCATTGTAGATTGTTATAACTTTTACATAGATCGTCTTTTCAGGTTTTGAGTCAAGTAATTTTATTTGCTCCTATCTTGCCTAAACTACTCCTTTCAAGTTTTCAGCTTATCGGGTTGTTCAATTTTGCTAAACCATCTTTTTAAATTTTCAGCCTCGCGAACTCTTTTTTGTTTCTTTTTTTTTATGCATAGTATTTCTTAACTGCATCCAAATTGATTGGGAGTGATAAATCTTTACCATCCATGTTTGAAAGGACAAGGGAAACTCGGAGTGATAAATCTTTACCATCCATGTTTGAAAGGACAAAGGCAACTCTTGAAAAATCTTTCTTTACCACATATGGTCCTTCATAATTTGGCGTCCATTTTTCTCTTTGATCTTTCTAAGTTGGTAAGATCTTCTTGAGGACCAAATCTCCTTCATGAAATTGTCGGGGGTGGACCTTTTTATCATAGTATATTTTCAGCCTTTTTTGATAAAACTATCCATGACATAGGGAGATAAACCTTTTTCTTCAATAAGATTCAATTGGTCAACACGAGTCTGGATCCATTCAGCCTCTTCGAGTTTTGTTTCAGCCAACACCCTTAGAGAGGGAATTTCTACTTCAACTGGAAGCACTGCCTCCATCCCATACACCAAAGAATATGAAGTTTCCCCTGTAGAAGTTCGAACAGAGGTGTGATATTTGTGTAGTGCGAAGGACAACATTTCGTTTCAATCCTTGTATGTAACTACCATCTTTTGGACAATCTTCTTTATGTTTTTATTTGTTGCTTGTACTGCCCCATTCATCTTTGGACGATATGGTGATGAATTATGATGTTGAATCTTAAAATTATCACACAATTCTTTCATTAGCTTGTTATTCAAATTAGTCCCATTGTTCGTAATGATCTTGTTTGGAAAACTGTAACGACAAATTAAGTCCTTCTTGATGAACTTAGTCACTACATTCCTTATCACATTCGTATATGACGCTACTTCGACTCATTTGGTGAAGTAATCGATTGCCACTAAGATGAAGTGATTTCCATTTGATGTTTTAGGTTTAATTGGCTCGATTGCATCCATACCCCACATTGCAAATGGCCACGGTGCAGCCAAAATATTTAAAGATGACACTGGTACATGGATATTATCAGCATATGTTTGATATTTGTGACATTTTCTTACATAGTTACAACAATCATTTTCCATGGTTGACCAATAATAGCCAACTATTAGGATTTTCTTTGCCATTGGATGTCCATTTACATGTGTTCAAAATGAACCCTCATGAATTTCTTCCATTATTTTCTTAGCTTCAACTATTTCAGCACACCTAAGCAATATCATGTCATGATTTCTTTTATATAGCGCATCACCATTAAAAAAAAAATTCTCATTATCAGCTTCCTCAATGTTTTCTTGTCATTTTTCTGAAGTATTAGGAGGATATTTTCTATCTTTCAAGTAGCGTTTGATGTCATAGAACCATGGTTTTCCATATGACTCTTCTTATATGGTTTAAAAATATGTTGGTTGCTCTTCATGATACATTTTTATCAGGGGTATATCCTCTTCTTGGCTTATTTTGAACATTAAAGATAAAGTAGCTAAAGCATTTGCTAACTGATTTTCCTCACGAGGGATATGATGAAAGGTTACTTCATTAAACTGTTCCAACAATCCCTTAATATAGGAGTGATATGGGACTAACTTTGAATCTCGAGTTTCCCATTCTCCTTTAAGCTGGTGGATGACTAAGGCTGAATCTCCAAAGACTTCTAGTATCTTGACCTTGAATTCAAGAGCTGTTAGTATTCCCATCGCACATGCTTCATATTCTGCCATATTATTTGTGCAATCAAAATCTAGTCTTGCATTAAACGGGATAGTTTGACCTTCAGGAGAAATCAATATTGCACCAATTTCGTGCCCTAATGTGTTAGATGCTTCATTAAACAACAAAGTCCATTTTTCTTCGTTTATTATTCTTCTTTCTTCAAACAATGACAATATGTTCTCGTCTGAGAATTCGTGTTGTATTGACTGATAATGTTTTATGGGATTATGGGCCAAGAGCTCTACTATAACACTTCCTTTACACTAGTGTAAAATGGGCTTTTTACGACAGTTATTTTGGACTTTTTACGTCACCTATAAGACTGACATTAAAACAGGAGATGTAAATTCATGTCAGTTATCGAGACCCGACGTTAATCTACGTTGCATATATCACTAAACAAACATAAAAGACTTCAAAAATTTAAAAAATTGGACGAAATTTATGTCGCATATATGAATGTGCAACATAAATTTACATCGCACATACACATGCACGACGTAAATTTTTTCCTTTTTTTTAATATTAGATTTATTTTGTCTTACAACCAAAACCTGCAAACATATACTATAACCAAACAATCCAGAGGTTCAAGTTTCTTTAGGTAGTAAATAAAAAATATAATATCATATATCATTCAAACTACAAAAGTTAAATTAATACACCATAGTACAAACTACATAATAAAATAATATAATACAAACAATATACTAAAAGCTATTACAAACTAAAAGTTAGTACAAACTAAGCTACCTAAACTACATAATACACACAATATAATACCAACAATAACCTATAAACTAAGTACTAGAATTGTTAAACGAAAAACCTTACTCATTGTTCTCTAATTTGTGTGATATCATGTTCTGACAATGGAGATAAATCTTGAATACCTGAAACATTAATTTGACTCTTGTAAACACTCAACACGCATAAAGTTAAATAAACTTAACTAATGTTGAAAGCAATTACTTCCGTCCAAGAATCAGTTATACCCGCACAAACTATGACTCTCATCCAATACATGACATAGTAACCAGATTCAAATACATGGAATATCAATTTGACTCCTATTAACATACACACAAAAGTAAATAAACTTAACAAATGTTGAAAGTAATTACCTCTGTCAAAGAATTATTTATACCCGCACAAACTTTTGTCTATTATAGGTT